GCAGGTGGGGATAGAGTTCCAGGCAGTGGGAGCAGCAAGGACAGGACCTGGAAGCAGAACACTCCGCAGGTTTGGGCAACTGAAGGGCAACTTGGGTGGTTGATTAGTGGTGCGCGAGAGGATAGCAAGCAGCAGATGACTCCCTGGGCATGTTTTACTCGATCCTCCTGAAGCACTGGGCCAATTGCACCTTGAAATTGTATCCCCTCAATTTCCATGTTGCCTCTACCACTTGATTTTTTTCCCACTAGGTTGAATAGTTTTCCCAAATTCATATCTACTCAGAGCCTCAGAATATGACCTTACTTGGAAATAGGGTCTTTGCTGATGTAATTAGGCAAATGATTAGTTAGATGGATTAGAGTAGGCCCTAATTCCAAGGATGGGGGGGTTCTTATAAGAAGCCCATGGGAAGACACACAGAGGGATGAAGGCATGTTATTATAGAGCCGAGATTGGAGTGATGCAGCATGAGCCAAGGACTGCCAAGAATTGCTACCACCACCATCACCACTGGCGTATAGGCCTGGAACAGAGTCTCCCTCAGAACCTCCAAGGAACCAAACTTGCTGGCACCTGAATTCAGACCTCTAGTTTCCTAAACTAGGAGACAATAAGTTTCTGTTGTTTTATACCATCTGGTTTGTGGTAATTTGTTATGGCAGCCTTAGAAAACTAACATACATCCCTTCAGCTGTACATTCTTAGTCCTTTTTCTGGTTTCTTCTTCCCATTCATACCCTTAGTGTGATACAAGACTTCTATCCTTGTTGATACTCACTTCTTATATCCTGTCCTTGGCACCTCTTGGCAAAGAGCCTTACTCTCCATCCAAGGCAAACAGGAAAGAAGTTTGGGAGTTAGCCAGTAGGGTTTCCTCTATTTTAGTTTCCACATTCAGTTAGCCACCAAGTCCCATGGACACTGCACTCTTTCTAAAAATTATTTTTCAAGAAGAATGGGTAATACCTTTATATGATTTTAAAAGATATAGCATGAATAGATAAACACACAGACCAGTGAAAGAGTAGACATTCCAAAATAGACTCAAGCATATATGGAAATTTATTAAATAATAAAGGTGATCACTAGAAAAAATATTAAAACTTAAAAAACTGGTGTAAGGGGGAGCCTGGGTGGCTCAGTCAGTTAAGTGTCTGACTTTCGTTCAGGTCATAATCTCATGGTTTGTGGGTTTGGTCCCCGTGTCAGGCTCTGTGCTGACAGCTCAGAGACTGGAGCCTGCTTCAGATTCTGTGTCTCCCTCTCTCTCTTCCCTTCTCCCTCTTGCTCTCTGTCTATATATCTCAAAAATAAACAAACATTTAAAAAAGTGTTTTTAATGCTGTAGGGACAACTGAATAGCCATTTCAAAAAAAGATAAAACTAGATCTTTGTCTCATACCATGGACCAGAATAAATTCCAAACGAATCAGTAATCTAAATGAAAGAAAGAAAAAAGGATGAGAGTACTAAGAAAACATAACTGGGTTTGGAAAGAACTTCTTAAAGCTATAAAACAAGATCCCAAAGCAACAATAGAAAATCTTGATAAATTCAACTACATAAAAATAAATTTTTTTGGCATAAAACATCACAAGGAAAGGCAAAAGGCAAATGACAAATTGGAGGAAAATATTTGCCACTTATATTGGGACTAATCTTTTTAATATATAAAGAATGCCTAAAAATATAAAAGAATGAAATGTACAACCTGATAGAAAAATGGACAAAATCATAAACAGACAATTTGGAAAAGGGATATACAGTTGACTCCTTTTTTTTAAATGACTAATTATTTTTGAGAGCAAGGGAGACAGAGTATGAGAGGGGAGGGGCAGAGAGAGGGAGACACAGAATCTGAAGCAGGTTCCAGGCTCCACACTATCAGCACAGAGGCCTCCATGGGGCTCGAACCAATGGTCTGCAAGATTATGACCTGAGCTGAAGTCCCATGCTTAACTGACTAAACAACCCAGCCACCCCATAGTTGACTCTTAAACATGTAAAACGATGTTGAAATTTACTTATAATAAATGCAAATTAAATATATACAAATATATCATTTCTTACCTATCAAACTGACAACAATTCAAAAGCTTGGCAACATACTCTGTTGGTGAGGCTATGGAGAAATAAACACTGTCATACAATGCCAGTGGGAATGCAAAATGATACAGTCCCTAGTGAAGGGAATTGGGTAATACTTAAAAATAATGATGTATTTACCCAGCAAAACCACTTCTAGGAAATTGCCTTGAAAGGAACTTCTACAAATATGAAAGAATGTATGGGGCACCTGGGTGGCTCAGTTGGTTAAGCCTCCGACTTTGGCTCAGGTTCGGGTCCCATGTTGGGCTCACTGCTAACATCTCAGAGCCTAGATCCTGCTTCAGATTCTGTGTCCCCCTCTCTGTCTGCCCCTCCCCTACCAGTGCTCAATTTCTCTCTCAAAATAAACAGACATTAAGAAAAACTTAAAAAAATGAAATATGTATGTACAATATTCCTCATTACAGTATGATTTCTAATAGTAAGATAGTGGACACAATCCACACGACCACTAATAAATTAAACTGTGGTACAGCTACAGGAGTACCATGCAGTCACAATAAAAAAATACAAAATACTTCTATCAACTGATAGGAGTGATTTCCAGGATTATATTATTAAGTGAAAAAAATGAGGTGTAAAAAATAAGGGAAGATTATATATATATATATATACTTATTTTCTGCAAAAAAAAAAAAAAGAAATACAGGAAGGATAAAACAGAGGCTGATGAAAATATCTGCTTCTGGGGACGGTGGGAACAGAGTGAAGGAAAGGGATGAGAGTGGCACTTCTTTCCCTTTTATATTGTTTTGAGTTTTGAACCACATAAGAGTGGTCCATAAAAACAATTTAATAAAATGTAATAAAAAGATTTTAAAAATCAAAACCTAAAATCAAATATAAAAAGAAGCAAATGAATCTCTATCAAATTATCAAGTTTCCTTTGCAGTCCCTTTTGTCCTTAGAATGTATCTTAGTAAAGATATACAGAAGACTGTTCAAGGTGACTTGAATTACGCTGTTCGGTACTATACTGTACCATGATTGCCTATCTCTGGTGTTCTTAATTATAAAGAAAAAAGGAGATTGCAAAGAATCTAAACTCTACTTCATAGATTTAAAGTAACATTAGAATTGAGATTCTCAAGCTGCTTTACATATACAATATTGTAGAATACAGCAAAAAAAGTAAATATGTGAATGCAATTAGGAGCCAAGACTTTCAGAGTGATCATGTAGAATAGTCTTGGTCTCAGAAGATGCCTACTGAAGTTCTTCCAGTGAAGTTTCATGATGTAAAACTTTCTTTTAAATGATTCAGAAAAAAAAAAAGCATGTAAGAAACAGAGCAAAGAGAAAAATATGAGCAATTGCTGAATCTAGCTGAAGAATAGTGATCTTTGTATATTTCTAATTGTTTCAATTTTTCTAAGTTCAAAATTGCAATAAAAATTTTAGGATAGGCAATATATCTCATTGGCATTTTATAAAACACATGTTTTGCTATGAACTCTAATCAGAAATGCATCACTTATAGCAATAAAAATAAGCTAGATTTTTGCTTCAGTAAGAATCAGCAGCAAAATATCACGGACTTAGAAAATCAAAGGTCTGTTTCTTGCTCATGCTACCTACCCATCACCCAGTCTATGCAAGAGGAGAAAGAGAGCTGCCAAAGTTCTCCCACAAATAATGAAATGCTTGACTAGAAATGACACACACAACTTGTTAATCACATGGCCTAGCTCACCCTGATGGGGAGTGAGACATTGGGCAATATCTGATGAACGCTATAAATGATAATCACCTTGCTCGTTCACTGTGTTTCATGCCACAGTAAACACTGATAGATGTGAGAAGTTGATACAGTGTAGAACTAAGAACACAGATCCTGCAGCCATATCACCAGTTACTAGATCAATCACTTGCTAGCTAGTCTTGAGCAAATTACTTGCTCTCTTTGTGCCTCAGTTTTTTCAGGTGTAAAAATTGGGTCTAATAATAAGTAACTGAGGAAACGTTAGGTAAGTTAACATAGTTAAAGTGTTTAGAACAATGGCTGGCATATCACTATCATCAACAGCATTATTATTTTATAGTATGGAACTCAGTATAATGCATTAAAAGAATTTCTCAGTATCCCTCCTCCAAATCAAACAGCACAAAGATTTATAGTGAAAAGTGAGCTTCTCTCTCACATCCGAGCCTCATCAACCAGTTTTTCTCCCCAGATATGATTGTTACCAGCTGTGGCATTTAGGAATTTATTGCCTTCCATCTCCCAGCTCCCCATCATCTCTCTGCTTCTGATAAATGAAGCCTCTTTCCTTGACTCCTGACAGAATGTTAAGCTTGGCCAGTAGAGGACACTGGTGGGACTCTGGAGGAAAGAAGGGCTTCCTGGGTCTGGTGGGTTTTCTGTTCTTGCACCTGTGGCTGGGCAGGTGTGTGGGAGACCCGGTGATGGCGGGGACCCCAGGTGGCTTCCCCAGGGCCGGTTCAGCAACACTCCTGTAAGCAGTTTGTTTCCTGGCAGGTTTCTGCCACAGCCAGTTAGTCACCCAGCCAGCTTCCCATCCAGTTCAACAGCATGCCCTATGGCAGTTTCCCCAAAAATTCCCTCAGTAACCCCAAGCAATGACTTCTTTCCTACCAGCCTCAGATGACTGGCTCCTCACTGGAGGTATTTCCAGCTTGTCAGCCCTGGCCTGTCAACCATGAACCAGCTCTGACTGGAGACAACCCAGCAAAATATTGCACCATGCCAGGGAAGGGGCTTCTTCCTCTCCAAGGAGGTCTGGGTCAAGCCTTGAGGCTCCTCCACTTTCAATTCCTTCCTTTCTTGGGTGCTCTATCTTAGCATAAGGTGTTCTTCAGAGTTCCCTTAGTATTGTTTAGTAAATTATCTTTAAATAACCCCTCTTTTTTTCTTCTTTTCAAGAACAATTTTGTGATTTCTTCAGAAGATTGGCTTCCAGATCACTGTGGACAAGACCCAAGATGCAGTCCTCAGCAGAACCACATGGACAGGTGAGATGGCCAAATTTTATTCTCAGAAAGGATCAGAAATGAAAGTGCTCTGATTTCCCTAAAGCCCTGTTTCAATAGCGAGGAGGGTGTAACTCTCACATTGAAAAGCAAGTCGTTTCAAGAAAAAAATTCCACTATAGGGTAGTTCTATAATGTATACAATTATGTTATACAAATTCAATGATAGCCGTCCAGCAGAATAAAATAACAATCATAACATAATAATGAGAAAAAAGATAGGATAAATGGATGAAAGTGCCAGGCAAGCTTTCACCTGTCATTCTTCTCCCAGCGTGGACCTGGGGTTCATTCAGTAAGCCTCTGCTCCTGAGTGCCTCTGTGCCCCAAGCATGAGTCCAGTGCTTAAATATCTACTGTTTTCATAGAATACAGCTTCTAACAGCTGGCCAGCTTCTTCATCTGGTGTTCAGCTGAACAAAGGACAAACTTCTACAACACCATAGAAAACCTGGCTGTGCTGGACAGATGGAGAAAACACACCAGTCTCCAGTTTAGTATCTCTCACAGGTTTTCACAGGTCATTTCTGACCATAGGAATGTGTGTTCCTCCCCAGAACTCCATGAACTATAGAGCTGCCCTACCATATCAGATAGGACTCCCCTGGAGCCTCAAAGCTGACCAGAATCAGGTTTTGTCCATATTGTCAAGGCAAATATTTACTGGAAGCCAGGACTAATCCTGTCCTGGGTTCAGCAGGGGCCACCAAAGATAAAATTAAAAGCAAGTCAATCAACCATGCTGTACCCCATTTCCCATTCCCTTGACACTTCCCCCCGTAAAAAAAAAAAGAGAGAAAGACAGAAAGACAGAAAGACAGAAAGAAAGGAAAGAAAGATCCCTAGAGAAAACATGTTTTAATCTGATTGTGCTACCTGAATGAGGTAACTCTTTAATCCTCAGTAGACTAGCAAGGATCAATTTATCCCGTCAGTCTACAGCCCACTAAAGATTGGGGGTGAGGATTCACAGATCCAGAAGGCTCAGCATCTTGGGGAACACAGAGCCAGTTCTTGCTCTCTCTCAGCTTCAGCTTCTTCCCCCCTGCATACAAACTTCCACTGTCCACAGAATGATGTCCAGTTTCAAGAATCTTTGTTGGACCAGGATGAGCTGAGTGCCCCAGGCAGGGTCTGGTGCTCACTCATCTGCAGGTATGCCCAGCACTAAGCACAGCTGACGGCACATAAGCCGAATGGAGCTCAATGAAAGAATGGCAACCGAGGAAAAATGTAACCTATATAAAACACAGGTGCCATATGTGCAAGTCTTGACACAGTCTCATGTCAAAGTAAAAAAAATTAACTGGAGAGCCTTTTATTATATTTTTTAAATAATAAAATTTAAAAAATTTTTAATTTTGAGAGAGAGACAGCATGGGGTGGGGGGGGAAGGGGCAGAGAGAGAGGGAAGGAGGGAAAATCCCAAGCAGGCTCTGTGCTGCGAGAGCAGAGCCCATTGCAGGGCTTGACCCCATGAAACCATGAGATCATGACCTGAACCAAAACCAAGAGTTGGATGCTTAACTGACTGAGTCACCCAGGCACTGCAACTGGAGAGCCCTTTAAATCTTTGCCAAATTTCTCAAGGAATACCCCCCAAAATCTGTTTATAATGGAAAACAAACATATGAACTTATTATCTCACCTCCATGGCAGCTGCATCTCTCTCAAATTACCCCCAATTTTCCTAACCTTTCTCATTCCCTTCCTATGTCCCTTTCCACACACATAGCTTCCACTCTTTCCTAGAAGTACAGAGTAGCTGCTTAAAAACACAAGCTCTGGGGCTTATTTTGCTGGTTTCAAATTTCTGTCACCATTTAACTGGAGCAGGTACTTGGCATGTGATAAGTGCTCAACAAATTCAACCGGTTAATTAAACCCTGCTGGCCTCTCCAATATCTTTTTTTTCTTTTAACTTGGCCCCTTTTTCCATTAATACAAAAGGAATGTCTTATTAGTTTTCCAGGGCTTCCCAAACAAATTGTCACAAACTTGGTGGCTTAAAACAGGAATATATTCTCTCACATCTCTGAAGGCCAGAAGTCCAAAGTCAAGGTGTTGGTAGGGCTATGCCTCTCCAGAGCTCTAGGGGAGACTCTGTTCTTTCCTTCTTCAAGCTCCTATGGGCTGTCAGCATCCCTGGGTGGCTGCATCACTCCAGCAGCTGCTTCTGTCTCCACATGGCTTTTCCCTGTGCTCATCTCCTCTGCATGTTTCACCGGTGTTTTGTCATTGGATTTAGGGCCCACCCAGATAATACAAGATGATCTCATTTCAAGATCCTGAACTTAATTATTGTATCTGCAAAGACATTTTCTCTAAATAGTGTCATGTTCACAGGTTCCAAGGGGTCAGGATGTAAACGTGTCTTATTTGGCAGCCACGCTTCAACCGGTATGAAATGACCCTGGGTCCTTCCTCTTGTGGGTGGTGGGTGGGGAGAGGACTGGATATGCCTGTGATTTAATTGTTTTCTTTTACCCTTGTCATGATGATGATATCAAGTCAGCTGGCAGCATCAACTATTTGGAAACCCGGGATGAGTTCCTGCAGTTGGCCGAACATGATTCAAAGTGATCTTCAAGGACCATGAAGAGGTTCTGGAATGCCACGCCTGCCCAGTGGAGGAAGCGCTCCATAAGTTGCCTGTGGGGTTTCATGCAGGGACATGCAGTACCGGAAAGCACTGCAGCAGCTGTTGGGCAAGCAGCCGTCACAGAGGTACCGCTTCTTGCCAGGGAAGTTGACATTACAGCAGCCGTTCCTTCCTTTCACAAATGTATCCTAGCTCATCTGGGATGAGGTGCTTCTCTAGAGTGGAGTTCCAGTACTGGTTGCCAGGCAGACAGCTATGGACCAACTGAAAATGAACTTTCTATAGACTGTGGGGTCATGGTCTTGAACCTGGAGGACATTCTGATCTCTCATTGCCTTCTCCTCCTGCCTGAAGGTGCTGGTGAGGAAGTGGACAAGAGAGAGCCAGAAGACCAGGGCTAGCGCCCACCTCTTCCAGAGGAGCCGGCATCACACTGGCTGACTATTCAAATTATTGGATCGTTTCTGTCTCCTGAATGGACTCTGACAGATAGAACAGCTTCTGGTCATAGTCTTCCAGAGGGTGTGTGTGTGTGTGTGTGTGTGTGTGTGTGTGTGTGTGTGTGACATCTCTTTTATTGCACAATTAGCAATATTCTGTACAATGTTTTCTTTTTATTTAAAAATTTTTTAATGTTTATTTATTTTTGAGAGAGAAAGAAGCAAAGAGAGGGAAACAAAGAATCTGAAGCAGGCTCCAAGCTCTGAGCTGTCAGCACAAAGCATGATGCTGGGCTCACCAACTGTCAGATCATGACAGGAGCCAAAGTCTGAAGCTTAACCAACTAAGCCAACCAGGCACCCCAGTTTTCTTTTTTTTTTTTTTGACTCACCAATCATTGCATATCAGCACACATAGGTTTTTCTCATGTTTAACAGCTACATAGTATTCTGTTGTACAGATAGGTCATCATTTATTTAACCATTCTCCTACTGGAAAATTAAATTATTTCCATTATTTTCCCCCCATAAATACTACAGTAGTAGTCATTTTTTTGTTTGTTTATTGAGAGAGAGAAGGTGCAAGTGAGTGAGGCAGAGAGAGAGAGAAGACTCATGCTTACAAACCGTGAATTCATAACCTGAGCAGAAGTCAGATGCTGAACAACTGAGCCGCCCAGCTGCCCCCACAGTAGCATTCTTATTTGAGAGGTCCATATGCCCATGTGTAAGCACATCTTCTCTGAAAAACCACTTCCTGGAGAAGATTCTGCCTCTTAAGTTCTCTCCAAACTACCTCCATGCTTACTGCTTCCACCTTATTATAGGCATTCTTAGTAGTAATTTTACCACTAGGTATTTACTCAGGAAAACTAAAACAGAAGTCCCCACAAGAACTCTGACAGGAATATTTAGAGGAACATTACTCATAATCACCAAAATTGGAATTTTTTTGGAATATATTTAGTGTTTTTTATTAATTAGAATTAAGAAACCATTTTCCATATATTTTAATTTTTTAAAAAAATGTATAAAATTGGAGAAAAGCATAACCCAGGGAAGATTATGATCAGATATTTTGAAATAGGAATGCCTACACACACACACACACACACACACACACACACACACCTTTTCCCAGAATTTAAGTTTCTTCTCAAGAATCCATTATGGATTAAAAAAATTTTTTTAAATGTTTATTCATTTTTTTTTGCTTGCAGTCTTGTTACTTTATTATTATTTTTTTTCACAAATAGTTTATTGTCAAATTAGTTTCCACATGACACCCAGTGCTCATCCCCACAAGTGCCCATTCCCCCTCCCCTCCACATCCATCAGTCCTCAGTTTTTGTCAGCATTCAAGAGTCTCTCATGGTTTGCCTCTCTCCCCTTCCTCCACCATTTCCCCCTTCTTCTCCCCCTTGTTCCTCAGTTAAGTTCCTCCTAATCCTCCTATACATGCAAACATGATATTTGTCCTTCTCTGCCTGACTTATTTCGCTCAGCATAACACCCTCAAGGTCCATCCATGTTGCTACACATGGCCAGATTTCATTCTTTCTCATTGCCATGTAGTATTCCATGGTATAGATGCACCACATCTTCTTGATCCATTCGTCCATTGATGGACACTTAGGCTCTTTCCATGTTTTAGCTATTGTTGAGAGTGCTGCTATGAACATTGGGGTACATGTGCTCCTGTGCATCAGCACTCCTGTATCCCTTGGGTAAATTCCTAGCAGTGCTATTGCTGGGTCATAGGGGAGTTCTATTGTTAGTTTCCTGAGGAACCTCCACACTGTTTTCCAGAGGGGCTGTACCAGTTTACATTCCCACCAACAGTGTAGGAGGGTGCCCGTTTCTCCACATCCTCGCCAGCATCTAGAGTTCTCTGATTTGCTCATTTTAGCCACTCTGACTGGCGTGAGGTGGTATCTCAGTGTGGTTTTGATTTGTATTTCCCTGATGAGGAGGGATGCTGAGCATCGTTTCATGTGTCTGTTGGCCATCTGGATGTCCTCTTTGGAGAAGTGTCTGTTCATATCTTCTGCCCATTTCTTCACTGTGTTGTTTGTTTTTTGGGTGTGGAGTTTGGTGAGTTCCTTATAGATTCTGGATATTAACCCTTTATCTGATATGTCATTTGCAACTATCTTTTCCCATTCCGTTGGTTGCCTATTAGTTTTGTGAGTTGTTTCCTTTGCTGTGCATGTTTATTCATTTTTGAAAGACAGAGAGAACAGAGGTGCATGGGTGGGGGTGGGGGGGGGCGGACAGAAAGAGAGGGAGACACAGAAGCCGAAGCAGGCTCCAGGCTTCCATCTGCCAGCACATTTCCTGACAAGGGGCTTGAACTCCCTGACAACAAATCATGACCTGAGCCGAAGTTGGATGCTCAACCAACCTACTGAGCCACCCAGGCGCCCCTCAATTATGCACTTTTTAAAGGTAATAACATTTTCCTCATACTTGTGCCAAACTGGTAGCTAACGTAATAACATAAAAACAAATGAAGAAAATATTTTAATACATTATGAATTCCTCCTATATATATAACTTGATTGATCATTTTATTCTTGTAGCAGTTAACTGGCTGTATCAGGTGCTATCTCTGACATTTATACTTCTTGTATTAGTATATCTGTTTTCTTTTCCTGTTTAAATTTACATCCAGGTTAGTTAGCATATAGTGCAACAATGATTTCAGGAGTAGATTCCTTAATGCCCCTTACCCATTTAGCCCACCCCTCTCCCACAATCCCTCCAGTAACCCTCTGTTTGTTCTCCATATTTAAGAGTCTCTTATGTTTTGTCCCCCTTACTGTTTTTATATTATTTTTGCATCCTTTCCCTTATGTTCATCTGTTCTGTGTCTTAAAGTCCTCATATGAGTGAAGTCATATGATATTTGTCTTCCTCTCACTAATTTTGCTTAGCATAATACCCTCCAGTTCCATTCACGTAGTTACAAATGGCAAGATTTCATTCTTCTTTATTGTTGAGTAGTACTCCATTGTATATATATACCACATCTTTATCCAATCATCCATCGATGGACATTTGGGCTCTTTCCATATTCTGGCTATTGATGAGAGTACTGTTAGAAACATTGGGGTGCCATTGCCCCTTCAAAACAGCACACATGTATCCCTTGGGTAAATACCTAGTAGTACAATTGCTGGGTCAGAAGGTAGTTGTATTTTTAATTGTTTGAGGAACCTCCATACCGTTTTCCAGAGTGGCTTCCCCTGTTTGCATTCCCACCAGTAGGGCAGAAGAGATCCTTTTTCTCCGCATCCTCACCAACATCTGTTGCCTGTGGTGTTAATGTTAACCATTCTGACTGGTATGAGGTGGTATCTCATTGTGGTTTTGATTTGTATTTCCCTGATGGTGAATGATGTTGAGCATTTTCTCATGTGTCAGTTGGTCATCTGGATGTCTTCTTAGGAGAAATATCTGTTCATGTCTTTTGCCATTTCTTCACTGGATTATTTGTTTTTTTCGGTGTTGAGTTCCTTATAGATTTTGGATACTAACCCTTTGCAATATCTTCTCCCATTCTGTCGGTTGCCTTTTAGTTTTGCTGATTATTTCCTTCGCTGTGCAGAAGCCTTTTATTTTGATGAGGCCCCAATAGTTCATTTTTGCTTTTGTTTCCCTTGCCTCTGGAGCTGTGTTGAGTAAGAAGTCGCTGCGGCCAAGGTCAAAGAGGTTTTTGCCTGCCTTCTCCTTGAGGATTTTGATGGCTTCCTGTCTTACGTTTAGGTTTTTCATCCAGTTTGAGTTTATTTTTGTGTATGGTGTAAGAAAGTGGTTTAGGTTTATTTTTCTGCATGTCACCGTCCAGTTTTCCCAGCACCACTTGCTAAAGAGGCTGTTTTTATTCCATTGGATAGTCTTTCCTGCTTTGTCAAAGATTGGTTGGCCATTCACTTGTGAATCCATTTCTGAGTTCTCTATTCTATTCCATTGATCTGAGTGTCTGTTTTTGTGCGAGTGCTATAATGTCCTGATGATTACAGCTTTATACTACAGCTTGAAGTCTGGGATTGTGATGCCTTCTGCTTTGGTTTTCTTTTTCAAGATTGCGTTGGCTATTCGGGGTCTTTTCTAGTTCCATAAATTTTAGAATTGTCTCTTGTATCTCTGTGAAGAATGCTGGAGTTATTTTGATAGGTATTTCACTGAATATGTAGATTGCTTTGGGTAGAATTGATATTTTAACAGTATTTGTTCTTCCTATGTAGGAGCATGGAAGATTTTTCCATTTTTGTGTGTCTTCTTCAGTTTCTTTCATAAACTTTCTATAGTTTTCAGTGTATACATTTTTCACCTCTTTGGTAATATTTATTCCTAGGTATTTTACAGTTTTTGGTCAATTGTAAATGGGATCAATTCCTTGGTTTCTCTTTCTGTTGCTTCATTGTTGGTGTATAAGAATGCAACTGATTTCTGTACATTGATTTTGTACCCTGCGACTTGGCTGAATTCATGGATCAGTTCTAGCAATTTATAGGAATATATCCATTTCTTCCAGATTGCCCATTTTATTGGCATACCATTGCTCATCATATTCTTTTATTATTATTTTATTTCTGCTGTGTTTGTTTTGATCACTCCCCTTTCACCCTTGATTTTATTTCTTTGGGTCCTTTCCCTTTTCTTTTTGATCAAACTGGCAA